GGTCTGCAGTGCGTATGGTAGCAAATAGCAATGCTGCTATTTTATAAGCGCTTAATCACTTAGTCTGGTACCCTCCTATTCTCTTACACTCTCTTGAGTGTCTGGCGGCGACCTCCGTCTATGGCCGATCATCTGTGGCTGCGTTCCCATGTCCGGCACTGTAGGGCGACTGCAACAGTAGCGTGTCGACGCGAGTCATCGCAAAGTCTGAACATAGTCTAATGTGTTCTCTTATGTGCTTCGGTTACTAATTTGTGACCAGCTTCACCCCTCACACAAACAATAATAATCACTCAGTCCCCTTCACAGAGATATCATTCCTGGGAAATTCTACTCTCTCGTTTGAAATTGATTCAGAGATTTTGATTTTGCAAAACATTCCCTTCAGTCGCCGTTGACAACCTACGTACTCCTTTTCAGATGAACTGAACAAAGTGTTCGTGTCGCTTCGACAAGCCTGCTGTCGAGACAATGGACAACTGGGAACGCCTTGCAGGTCAGCTTTTCATTACGAGTCCATTTTCGGCGTAAGATCGAGGCGAATTAGCTAGTACGGCGGAGGAATCCGTCAACCAAGGTTTCATTCGCTTTGAGGTCAGGAGCATTTTCATGGCTGAATCTCTGAACGAAGGGGAAGAAAAGAGGAGAGCGACACAAGAAAAGGAGAAAGGAAGGAAAAAGGGGAAAGAAGGAGGGTGAAGGTGGAAGTGGCAGCCGACAGGCGTCGTAAGTCTGTACAGCAATTGAACCAGTGACAAAAAGGCTGATTCAAAGGGGAACAAAAAAAGGTGAGGAAAGGGTGGGGAATCCCATTTTAAAGCTTGTTCAAAGTTTTTTATCACTACGTAGAACATGTCCGCCAGTCTTCTGAACATCTCCTCCATCAAGTAAAGGTGGCGCTCAGTGAGAGCAAGGAACCATTCCTTGACCTTTATTGAATTCCTACTGCCTGGAGTAGGCATTTGTGGATGGTCGGCTTCCGATCGTTCTCAAGGAGGCCTCTGGTGCGATGCTTACATATTCCTAGTCGGACATGAAAATCTTCGGATCGTTCTACCATTGTTGAGCCTTTCTAAGGAGCAGTGCTCTTTAGCCCCACATTTCGCAAAAGGTCTCCTCCGGCTCCGTCTTTTCGAGTGAATACAAAAAGGGGAAGGTGTTGACGATGGCTATTTTTGTTGACATAGCTCCTCAGTTAAAAAATAACAGAGAACGAGCTCTCGAAAACCTATGAACACTGTCTAGCAGAGAGGAGAATTTTCCTTCAAATAGTGTAAAACATCAGTTAAGCCTGCCATATTCTAAGCGAAAAATTCGAAGTCTAGCAGAAAAACGCCATCGATTTACGCGGCTCTAGTCCCATACAGTGTGCTCAAACTGCGTATTCAAGGAAACTACTTTAGCTGTATTCATATAATCCCTATACAATCCCATTTTTCATGTGCAGACTAAAAAATTATGGAGCTTGTGGAACTACGTGCGATGCACTGGCGGAGCAACCTGGCACACAGCCAGTACTATCTCAAAACGTCATACTACAGCGGTGAGTGCTGGTTTTTTTCAGAAGAAGAGGCAGAAGACAGCCATTAAAGGCACGCGTCGCGCGCGTCAGGTATCGAGTTGAAAACATCTGCGCGTCATAGAGCGTTAAGAGGCCGTCCGCGACGCAACAACCTGTTACCGCGCTTTCGCGGCAAAAAAATTGCTCTGGGCAGGCGTCGCCGCTGTAGCGCAACTATAGAATAGGCTTTCAATGCTTCCTCCTTTTTCCCCAGTGACTCCGTCCTCCAGACCTCTATCCCTTAATGAACGTACTTCCAGTGAAAAAATGAATTGCCAGGCAGAAAAATCATTGATAATCGCCACTTCTACGTCGGTAGTAGAATCTTAGCGCCGTGAACTTAAGCCGCTGCATATGAGGCGCTAGTTTGGCAGGACTGTAGAGTTGATTGCCGCGCACGCTACAAACTGGGATCGAAACTGGGGGTTCGTAATGCTAGGGCAAGATGGCGATTTTTTTGTTCACAGTCGAGTTACTCAACCCCTTGTCGTCTATATGGAACCCCCTAATCCACCATCTGAGATGGCGAGTAATCGCGGGTTCTTCCTTTAAACAGATATCTACTGTGAACAACTGCAAAAAAATTGTTCTAAGAAACGTAATGGCACTAGTGGAGCTCTTATACATACTTTCAAATCCCTCCAAACAAAATAGGCGTGGCGAACTTGAACTGAACCTGGCGGCGGCCAAGGTTGGGGGATATTTTTATTTAGGGACATTTGTAATCATGTCTTAGTTCAATACAAAACAAGGTGGCAGTTGTCCCAAATTGAAATATTTCACGAGTAACCCTTGGCCATGGTCACATGCCACGTCTGCCACGTCCCAGGGATAACGAGTGTAACTGCAAAATATTCATTTTGTGAGAACGATCCAGCTTAAAATTTTTTTAAAAAGTGTAGCGGAACCCTTCATGTCCCAAAGCTCCTCTCCGAATCGCCCTCAGAAGATTGACTGGTCTTCTTCCGATTACATCCCAGTTGCGTAGCGACTTCGTCGGCTTCCGGTTTCTTGACGAAAAAGTGGCGGAGTATGTCACCGGCGATGTTTGTCGGTTGCCGTACGTCGACAGCTCTCAAATCTTCAGTTCGACATAGGCCGTCTGCACGACCGTACGGACCGCCTCTTTCTTTACCAAAATAAATTAGAATATTTGACACATTACTTAGGGCTTCACTTCACTTCGCCTGAAAAGCCCACGTTTTCCTATATCCTCGTCAACATGACTTTATTCCAGAGCAGGAGCCGCCTGTCACCCCGCAGCCGATGACGTTTTTACCACAGAATCCTCTATTCATGCCGCCCGAAACGCCACCAGCAACACATCGTGAGCAAACCTATTCAATATGTTTCAGTCTGAAAAGGAATATTCAGCTTTCCAATTTCAGCAACAAATGCTGGCTTTTATTTGATTCCCGCATCGGGTGGTTGGATGCCGCCAATGATTCCTGGTATACCACCCAATCCATTCATGCCACAGCCTCTGCTCACACCTGATGCTGTACTGATGCGTCAACGGAGTTTGAATAAAAAGGTGCCCTTTTCTAGCTTTCACCTAAAACCTTTATATAATTGAATCTATAGAATTATTTTTTACCTACTTATCGATCGTTCTCATTTTTTGATCGTTTTCTAAACTATTAATTGTGAGTCCTTCTCTGATACATCCAGGCTTCGCCGAGCGGGCGCGCTTCGTAACGCGTTCCATCTTTTTCGAATAGTAAACCAATACCGTACCTTTCTCTCATCTGAACACTTGTACAACGGCCATAACCAATAGTGTCACATCTGCTACTCTCGTCGCTGTTGCTGTTCACAGAATTGTGGTAAGGAGGGCTGATCTAGTGCACAGATAAGAGAAAAGTCAAGTGTTCGTTGAGGACTCCAACACAAAAAAGATGG